AAAACTTAATGTAACATGGTAAATCGAGTTGCTTTTACAAAAACATTATCCTTCATTTTAACATGAGTAATCATCTAACTTGTAAACATGCCTACGTTCTGGATATTGAAGCAGGAGATCATACACAGCCTATAATTAGTGCAAAAGTCTATGTTTATTCTCATATAAAAAGAACCAGGGTTAGGAAAAGATTCGTGGATATTAAGACTTGGCAATTATGTCGGTCCACACAACACTACATTTAGTAATGGTAAGTTACTTGATGCTGCAAGCTATCAGAACTAACAGATACTAACATTTGGAAATATGTAGCAAGTTATAAATACATTACTTCCGGTAGAAAATCTAATTGCTGAGTTGCTCATTATTGTTTCTTAATTCAGAAATGGTAGGGTTTATGATCATAAAATCTTTCGTCGGCAAGATTGTTCACCTGAATGGCATAAACAACACCATTTATAGTGTAAAAGCTAGGCCTCAGCCCATCAGTTGATACAGCCCTAGCCTGCCAAGATCATAAGTAATCAATGAGTTGCCATCAAGAAACATAATAAATAGCAAATAAAAACCCCGTAAAAGAATCTAAACCAACCTGATAATAGATTTCTGCCCAGAACAATACAAGCAAAGCATATGTCGTGAAAAACACAAGGCTTGGCATATCAAGCAAGATGTGTTGGACAATCTATCCAGAAATGCAACATGCATAAGGAAATTATTAGAATAGTCATATGAACGCACAAGATGATATAGGATGGCTAAAAATTGATACCTCAGGGTTTAACTTCTGGACATCCCGACGGAAGGCGAAAACTATGCAACGAACTAAACAAACAAGAAAAAATAACATAAGTAGCTAAAAGATTCAAAAGAATTGCCGCTTTAAATAACACATCCAATAACCATCATCTAGATACAAAGAGAACATGACACAAACCTCCATTGACCAAGAAATTCAGGAAATGGAATACTTTCTGTGTCGTCCATCCATACTCTGGTACTCTTAGTTGTATTCTAACTAATTGTATCTGCAATGACAAGCAATGGAATCTTCATTAGTTTCAAAAGGAACTTCTTACCTTCTGGTAACACATTACAAATGCAGATGCATGTTGAGCTAACTTGTGAAAACTGCACCCATCAAGCGATTACAAAGATAAAAGACCTGATGGAAAAATGATCCACAGAACACTAACAGGTAAAGAATGAGAATTAAAAGTAGTTGATACAAGAGAATACAGTCAACGAACAGGCTTGGAACAAAAATCTGGATAAAAGAGCCAACAATTAATCCCGTTCCCAATGTTATCAATTTGAAGATTATTAGACCAACAGGCAACAGCTAGATTCATATCTCGAGGAATAATAAATAGTGAGGGAAAAATCAAAACACAAATCGTGAAAGAAAACTTACAAAAGCAACAGCGGCAACGATCCCATAGAGGGCGGCGAGCAGATGGAATATACGATCCTGCCATAAGGGCGACTCGTTGACGGCGTCCCACCAGGTCATCGCGTCATTAAGGCGAAGCGCCACCACGGATGAAGGGCCCACCACCTCCGATTCCATATCCGCGGACCGCCAATCAATCAGGCAAGAAAAAGATTTACGATTGCGGCCGAGAAAATCTCCCAAAGAAATTACTGATTGGGGGAAAGGAAAAGGAAATCAATTTTTGGTTCAAACCGCTGAATGAAAAGGTGCGGTGGGAGGATGAGGTTATATAAAACGCCAACACGTGGGATGATGAGTTGGTCTGATCTGGTGAAAGGGTGGGTGTGTGAGCAAGGGGAGGAAGAAAAGGAAGACCGCCCCACCATCAAAATTCCCCAAAACTACATCGGGATAGGATCAAATTAAATTTTCTCGTGTGTACTAAAAACAATATATATCCATTTAAATCATGACATTTTTTTTTCATTTAAAATATTTAAATAATTTTTTTAATCAAATTACTAAATTATCGTTTCTTAAACACTCTTTAAAAAGAAAATTAATTAACTATTTTTTGTCCACAACGTCAATTTTCTGTAAAAAAAAAACTATTGGCGACTATTAAACTATTTTTCAAAGAAAATTTGCTACCGAAAAAATAACAAAAAATAAATAAGAAAATATTAAAAATAATATGCTTGAAAATAGCACTTCAAATTGAAAGCACATATGAACTCAAAACATCAAAATGATTAAAGACTGTTGCAGTATAACTGAATCACTGGAAATTGTCGATTGAAGTATTCATCCTGCCGCTATCGAAAATCTGAAATTTTTATCGGCGTTTCCAAAGGTTCTATCGATGATCAAGAGAGTGTTTAGCTTCTTATGAAAATAGTTATATATATATATATATATTCCATGAAAATCCAATAGTTGGATCTTCGGTGACATTCCAACAAAATTTAATGTACAATTCTTTGATTTTTTTAAACATTAACATTAATTTAACAAAAATTGAGGCATCGTATGATGAAATTGGACATGCCACTGGAAATATCGAGTGAAGAGCTATGAAATGATATATATGAATTGTTGAAATTCATTATTAGTAGGTTGATTAGGAAATGGTGGTAGTCGCTTGCGGCAAGAAGGTCAAATCTTCAATTCTGATACACTTTTAAATTAATATCCTTATTCTTAATTATGTTTATTTTTCTACACATGTACTTGAAACTAAATACAATTTTTGTTTTTATCAATTAAAATGAATTATAATCTAAATTAAACTAAGGGTATAATAAGTGTTCTGCATGTGGGACATATGCTCGGCATGTTTTCACCAAGTGGGCAGAAGCAGAACCATTAGCCACGATCATAGAGCAAAAAATGATAGACTTCATGTGGAAGTCAATAGTATGCCGATTCGGTGTACCCAATTCCATTGTCACGGACAACGGGAGGCAATTCGAAGTGAAAAAGCTCGAGGACTTCTGCCAGGAGTACAGGATCGAGCATTTTTTCTCGACCTCATATCACCCACAGTCCAATGGTCAAGTCAAAGCTGTAAACAAAACGATATAAAAGGGTCTTAAGCTCCGACTTGACGCTGCCAAGGGGGTCTGGCCAGAAGAGCTTCCCCACGTCCTCTGGGCATATCGGACGACAGCTCGATCCTCGACTAGGGAGACACCATTTTCTCTAGCCTATGGGTCGGAGGCAATGGTCCCAATCGAGCTTGGATCCCCGACATACTGTGTCCGAAACTTTGAGGAGAGATCGAACCAAGCTAACCTTAGAGCTAACTCGAACTGGTCAATGAGCTACGTACGCAAGCTGAACTCAAGAATGCCGCCTATAAGCAAAGAAGCGAGAGGTACGTCAATGCCAAGCTCCGACCTCGAACTTACCGAGTTCGGGACTTAGTGCTCAAGAGAATCACCGGACCGGACCCGGGACCCCTAAAACCGAAGTGGGAAGGCCCCTTCAGAATAAGCCAAGTACTGCCAAACGGGGCCTATCGGTTAGAGTATCTGGACGGCACTCCTCACCGGTATCCTTAGAACGCAGTGTACATCAAAAAAAATTTCCAGTAAATTTGATGTCGACTCCCACCGACGTTCTACTGGAGCCGGCCTTCGTGCCACTAGTCGGCGTAAAAAACATACGTTCTACTAAAACCAGCTTCGTGCCACTAGTCGGTGTAAAAAACCGACGTTCTGCAAAAACCGGCCTTCGTGCCACTAGTCGACGTAAAAAACCGACGTGCTGCTAAAACCGGCAATCATGCTACTAGTCGGTGTAAAAAACCGACGTTATGCTAAAATCGGCCTTCGTGCCACTAGTCGGCGTAAAAAATTGACGTTTTGCTAAAACAGCCTTCGTACCAATAGTCGGCGTAAAAAACCGACGTCCTGCTAAAACCGGCCTTCGTGCCAACAGTCGGCGTTAAAAACCGACATTCTGCTAAAATCGACCTTCGTGCCACTAGTCGGCGTAAAAAATCGACGTTCTGCTAAAATCGGCCTTCGTGCCACTAGTCGGCGTAAAAAACCGACGTTCTGCTAATACCGGCCTTCGTGCCACTAGTCGACGTAAAAAACTGACGTTCTGCAAAACACCGACCTTCGTGCCACTAGTCGACATAAAAAACCGATGTTCTGCTAAATTCGGCGTTCATGTCTCAAGTTGGCGCCAATGCCACTTGAAGTGAATAAGATTTCACCCGGGCTCCTTCAACTCGGACGGCCACCGTACCTGCAAGAACCCAACGCCGGGAGGGGTCCCGGCGTCGAGCCTCCGACGCTCAAGTCAGTATCACTCCAAATCCCAAGAATATAATTATAAATGTAGAGAGAATGAGAGAATGGGATACCTTAGCCCCCTTTTATAGGGGGAATGTACCTTATGCCCAAGTTGGGCTTGTCCAATAGCATCATGCCACGTGTCCTACCATGTGTAGGCTTATTCTTCAATATATCCCCCTTTTATCCATTAGGACTGGTCTAGTATATAATATCCTATATCATCTAGTCCTCCCCACTCTGGTCGAGTCTGAATGACTCGATCTAAGAGTGAAATTCCTCTTCGAGCTGTTTCCATCAACCTGCCACTGAGGTTGTAAGTTGAATAAATCATCGACCACCAAATAGTCACCAAATCTCCAAATGAGCATCGGGACCCCAAATGAATACCGAATGACCACTAAGGTCAAAAATCGAAAGACCCGCCACTGGGGTCGAACACCGAAAGCTGATCGACCACTGAGGTCGAAGATCGAGAGACCCGCCACTGGGGTCGAACACCGAAAGCTGATCGACCACTGGGGTCGAAGATCGAGTGATCCACTACTAGGGTCGAATGTCGAGAGCTAATCGACCACTGAGGTCGAAAATCGAGAACCGAAGTCTTGAACTTAAAAATTTGAGCTTACGTTTTGTTGTTTTTCGATCACCATGTTCGAGCTCTCTTCGTTTAAAGCTAAACCTTTCCTACCACCTCCTCCTATCATCGCCCCCTCAGTTCAAAATTTGAAATCCAACCCTGCTTTTTATCCTCTCGAAAACCGAATGTCCTGACACCACACCAAAGTCGAAAGCCGAATTTCGACAAAACCAAATAAGATCATCAACCTGAATAACTTGACTCCGTGAACTGTTCCGAGTGAACTCCCTTGACCTACCACCGAGGTCGGAAAATAAATTCGACAAAACCAAACCAAGCGAAAACCATCAACCTGCTCGTGTCGTAATTAATGCCCTCTATCTTCCATTGAGGTCGAAAAATAAATTCGACGGAACCATAATCAAATAAAAAGCAATCAACCTGCTACCGAGGTCTGAACGAGCTATCTGTAATGAACTCCATCTACCTTCCCTTGAAGTTGAAAAATAAATTCGACGAAGCCAAGAATCAAATAAAGATCATTGACCTGCCACTGAGATCTGTAATAGGATCCATGTCTTCACCGACCCAACGCTAGGATCGACCACCCAGCCCGGAGGCCTTAGTCATGGTGGATTTTGGTCTTCGAACACATGTCCACCCTCGAAGGAGTGGTCGGTACATGTGACCACCCAGCCCGAAGGCCTTAGTCCTGGTGGATTTTGGTCTTCGAACACATGTCCACCCTCGAAGGAGTGGTCGTTACATGTGACCACCCCGCCCGGAGGCCTTAGTCATGGTGGATTTTGGTCTTCGAACACATGTCCACCCTCGAAGGAGTGGTCGTTCTATGTGATCACCCAGCCCGAAGGCCTTAGTCATGGTGGATTTTGGTCTTCGAACACATGTCCACCCTCGAAGGAGTGGTCGTTACATGTGACCACCCAGCCCGAAGCCCTTAGTCATGGTGGATTTTTGTAACGCCCGATTTTTAAAGAAAATCCATGGCTTTTCCAAAAATCAAGGTAAAAATTTTCGAAACTTATTTTTCGAATCATAAATTTTTGACGTTACTCATTCCTTTCATAAATACAGTTCAAGTCATAACTGAACTACGGGGATTTATTACCCGATTTTTCAACGGTTTTCATTAACCACAAATCGATAAATTTAACATCAAATCATACTCAATCATATATCAAGTAGGGTTTTTCATCGTAAACCAAATCCGAAAGTTTTCCAAAATGAACAAGTTCAAAATCCAATCCAAACAAGTTCAATACCACACTGCTTAACCTACATCAGTTACGAGCAGGTGAGAGTGAGTACAGTTAACTATCGTACTCACACTATGCAATGCACATTTTATAATATGTCAAATTGGCATGGTCGCAGCATGAACACAAACAATACACATATGTCACATCTCCATCATAACGTAAATACTCCTGTGCACATCTTTCATAATAGTCGCGGAAAGGGGATTCATTACCCTAACGGCGAGAGTACGTGCCACGCAAGGACACGGCCTTTCATAATAGGTCTTTACGGAGACTTGCCTCATAAGGCAACCGTATTACATCGACGGGGACAACCGTAATGATGGCCATCATAATAGCTCACATCGATAGGCTACATATTCACGTTCATACATAGATGACGCCAAACCAGAAAACATATTTAAACACACATTGCACAGGAAATTTTAGAATAACAACCCACCTGGATTCCGGATTGATGATAACTCAAAGCAATGGAAGTAGGTCGAGGCTTGACTCCTCAAACACCTACATTATGTCAAGATCCTACAATCAATATCTTGACTTAATTGGAAAACACAAAACAGACCTAGTCGAACTTGTTTCGACTAAGTAGTTCGTGAAGTCCTGTGGACGTTGGAACACTTAGACTCGGTACAACACTCAACCAAACCACATAGGGGAGTTCACATAAATCCATCTAAGGATAGACCAAGTCAAATTCACAACAGAATGAAAAGCAAGTCGATTACCAATTTTAAATTTCAAAATCATATTTTGAAAA